AACCTACCGTTGCGTGCATTTTTTCTCTCTTACAACCATCTGAATCCTACAACTATGGGTCGGCTATCCTTAAAAATGTTTTCATCAGCGTGTTTAAAAAGAAATAAATTTCATTTTTTTGACTGCAGCGTTGATGAAATTCAGTATTTACAGGGTTATAATTCCACACTTCAAACAACATCCTGGTAACGCTAATACTATTGGGTTTTTGCTTCTGAAAAACTATGTAAGGTATCATTCCTATATATATCTGTTTTTTCCTAATTCCTGCTCATAGTTACGCCTTACTGAAAAGGAACCACTTGTCGGTTGGTTTCTTTTTTCAGTAATGAACTTTTTTAGGCTCTTCTATTTCTCTCTAATTTTGTATTCCATAGTGAACTCCTTCTTAAACATACTTAGCTACCTAAATTATTAACATCGGCTTACTTTTGTACTTTACTGTATTCCTTCTTTTGTGTATCTACTGGTTCCGACTATATTAGCACTATGAGTATTACAAAATTTTTCCTGTCATTAACCATCATGTAATTATTAGTTTTGTGGTTGTTTTTTTCTTATTTTTTTAATTTTTTTTCGGCAATATTAACTGACAATCATTGGTTGTGAACGCCATTGTCACCATCTTAAAATTTTGTATTATGCAGGATTACTCACACTACCACTACAAACACTGCATTAGACCTGACAATAAAAAACCCTGAAATGTTATTTTATGATTGTTTAGTGTTGTTTCAACCTAAATTAACTGATCATCCTGGCGATAAACATTCTTAAATATCATTTCATAACTTCTTGTATGACTATAGCTTTACTGTCACCATGTATAATCACATCATAGCTTCCACTACCCAATACTGAGATATTATTTATTATGTTGTTTATTTTCCTTTCTACTTCTTGATATTTTTTCGCATTTTTTATTTTTGTGTTTATTTGTTGTTGTTGTCTTTATACTTATTTTTTGAAATACTCCTTTTAAATGTTTGATAAAATTAGATGCAAATATTGTAGATATGTGCTGAAAATTCCACACTGTACCACTAGTACTGTTTCTGGAATGAAGCAAATTATTAATACTATTATTATTAACTTAATATTAGCCTTTCTGGAAAACATTTGAATCTGCCGCGTTGACAGTGTGGCTTGTGTTTCCTATCGTGTTTGATTACCCCTTGACACTTATGAACATACAGATTTCACTACGTTGTCGTAAATACAAATACAGGGAATAACGAAAATTGAACTAGGTGTGAAAATGTAATCCTGACAAATTCCTATACGTATAAAACTTGGGCACTGTGGTGGTACAGTATAACTCCATTATGGATACAATTTTATTTTGATAAAATCACACAGTGTTTGTTATACAGTAACATTAACAATATTTTCATCATAAGCTGACATTAGTTAGAGAACCAGTGGAAAACCTGGGAGTACTGGATACCTGTTTCGTCTTAGTTTAGGACTCTTCAGCAGTACGCACCCACCGGGACCAGTAGGGTGCAGCAGGTCGGGTGTGAGGACAAATACTCGCCGGAGACATTGGCTAGGGGTCGCGGCAAGGTCGTGAATTGGCAGAAGTTAGAATTCATGGGCCATTGGATTGGGTCCCAGTGCCTGGTCTGTGAGCTAGCTCGCTTTGTAAACGGAAGGTCCTGGTTTCGAGCCGGGTGGTGGGTGCGTACTGATGAAGCGTCTCAAACTAGGACGAAAGAACTTTCCAGCACTCCTAGGTTTTCCAATGGTTCTCTGACTAATGTCAGCTCATGATGAAAATGCTGTAACCAATCGAATCCCTACAAACCAACACTTGAATATTAACAATAGTTTGTGCTCGGAACGTCATCAGTTAATATTACTTACTGTATAACACAGTGTGATTAACCGAAATAAAATCTTACCTATAATAGAGTGACAAATTCCTGTCGAAGACCAGTCAGCTGGTAATTGTTTGACCTGCATAAATCAAAATGACTGGTGTATAAGCATAAACGCCGACGAAATCTTGCACGTTCCAATCTGGAAGCTTAGTCAACATGTAAACGTTAAGAGTCACCACTGGGTGACTAATTTTTCTAGATATATAGCACGATGGCTACATGTGACAATGAGGTACTGTTTCACTACGCAAACTATTTGTAGAATGTAAAAGCTATTGAGTAAGATGGTGTATTAAATAAACTTTATTGGGCAGTAAGGACGCAGATTTTACTTCTTGAATTATATATATATATATATCATGCCTTGCGTTTCCAATGGAACATAGGCTTCAAGTCTTGGGATTTCAGTAAAGATGTTTCTCTACGGTGTGTAGTTGCTAACCTCATACACTCAACCTTTCATCCTTCCCCAGCTTACGACCGGCTCGTTAACAAGGTGAGGCTTAGGAGTTTGTCAGTCGGCAATCGAACTTCAAGTCGTGTACGTGGCTGAAGAGGATTCTACCATTGAGCCACCGACGCACTCCTAAAACTCGCTTATTAGGCGATAAGCTTGATAAAGAGGTAGTGTTAGGTGTAAGGCTAGTCAAGCTCAAGCTCGAATCCTGATATCCCAATCGAAACGGCAGTGAATGAAGAAAAGAAAGAGTGCTCCAGTGCAAAACAAAACCCAATAAATTATAACTTGATAGTATATAAAACATTCTGAGTTGATGCAAACAATTTAGCAATGCCTTCTTATATTTGTACTTAGCAATATGCATTTACTAGTAGGACTCTCTATTCCTAATGTTGTAGAATGTTTCTTGTTAAGTCTACCTAGATTATAGAATTACTCCAAAAAAAAACGAACAAATTGATTTCGGTGTTTGAAGAAAACAACCTCTCATTTGAAACAAACAGTTTATTCGATAGAATCAATAATTCAGTTCTTTCTTTTTTGATTTACGGTGGACATCTTGCTTCAAATTAAATTCTTTTGTAATTTTTTAGAAATCTTAACATCTGTTATATATATATATATATATATATATATATATATATATATACCAACAGAATGTTCACCTGTCAGGTGACCAGTTGGCATCTCAATCTATTTGAGGTCATCATCACAAAAATGCTTATCTAGTTAGTGTATAGCATCTATAATTACCGACTACAAAATCTTTTTTCATCTGACGTACTACTTGGCTGTATCCTCTTAAGTAGTATAGTTAGTATTGCCTCGTGGAAAAAGCAGTATGCCTCCTGCTGTTATCTGTTCGACTTTTGCGCCTATCACGGGAGCTTCGACGATATCCGCAGGTGGCTAGCAGTGGAATCTACGATGCGCATTCCTTCCTGTCTGCGACTTGCCTTCTGTATGTACCTGCATCCATGGTGAATTATGCATAAATTCCCCCTGTGAGACTATATAATTCAGCACCCATATTTCCAAACTCAGGACGTTATGCACTGACCATAGGGCGAAGATAGGCACTCCTTTTTGCAATGAGTATCAGTTATCAGGTGTGTTAAGTTTGAATTTGTCGTCTGTCCTGAAAGTCAGATTAGCATAAATGCGCAAAACACTGATGTCTAGTTTTTGTATAAACAGTGGTCTTACGGTAAATATATATGCAAAATAAAATGCTGTTAATTAAATGTTGACAAATGTAAAGAATGACTGAGTAAATTTTAACAAATATTAATTAATCTCTAGTGTTATATGCTGAAGGTCAGTCGAAGAAAGCGTTACTCATCTCTGCCGCCCTCACATTCTTCTGAAGTCTGCATTACTCTGTTGAGTCTAAGTTTGTACTGAAAAGTTTAGACTCTTCGGTATTTTTTAATATTAATGCGACAGAATTTGTAATGTGTGTCTAATGGTATTGGCAAAGTTAAACTTTAAGCACCACTAACTACCAATCAGCGAATGACCTTGAACGCACCAATCACATGAAGGAGGCATTGTTTTTGGTTATGGAAAACATATATTTATGCAAAAATGCATAAAAATGTTTCATAGGATACCTTTCTCTGACATGTGGTAAAAACATCTCCCAGTTGAGCATAGGAGTATCATTTGGAAAGTTACACTATATTCTGTACATATATTCATCTAAATGACTATAAATGACATCCTTTTGAGATCCATTAATGGCCCTGATCCTGTTTTTAACCTTCCCCAAAAGCCTTCTATAGGATTTATGTGTGTCTCTTCAATGGGATCAACAAAGCGCTTATCCACCACCCAACCAGGGATCGAACTCACCAAGCGGGATATAAGGACAAATCCTCACCGATGACACTGGCTAGTGGTGGCGCCATATGTCATGTATCGACAGAGGTCAGAACTGATGGACCACTGATTCCTGTCCCAGTGTAACAATAGAAGACAAGGGCCAGGCAACAGATCGTTTATTAAGGAAAATCAACACATATTTATAGATTTTAATGTACATTATTGTGGAATATTTTTAGTAGAAAATACAGTCTTTTGATTGGTTGTTTCTCACAGAAAGTTAACCTTGCATCTCTTTGTGACTGTGTCAGATCATCCATATGCTAACTGTATCCACCTACGCAAAACCTTTGTTCTCATTTTCTCACCACCAATATTGGGGACATAAACACTGACGTCAATTACTGTCTACCAACTTTGGCTAGCAGCCAGCTCTCCCCACATCAGTGGCTGAATGGTCTGCGAAGTTGTCACGTTGATTAGACTAGGAGGATCGTCGATCTATTTTACCTTGTATAAAAGTGTCACTGACTTTATCACTATTCGTTGGCAATGTATCACTTACCTTTAATTAGCCAAGCTCGTAGGAAACAGGGAACACTACTCCAGTGTTATCACATCCAGAAAATACTCAGTTATCGCCTCCAAACATTAATTATATAAGGAGATCGTGCCCAGGGAAAACTGACTTCATACTTCCATAGTTGTAATTTTGAAAAAAATGTTGTTCCTGTTTTAAGTTTGAACTCTACGCCAATACATCGCATGTTTTTTTAATTCAGTGTCCATTCTTCGTGTCTATTCATATTCGTATTTACCCTTTTTCCTCCTAGATGTCCTCAGGATTACATCGGTGACTATTGTCAATTTTATGCTGGTAAGTTTTTAATTTTGGAAATCAATATATCTTACGCTTCATGAGGGCTAACTGAGGGGTGTGAAGTAAATAATTCTACTCTGCAGTCGGATGATTTTTCTGTAAGGCATTAATTGATTTCACCGCGTAGACCTATGAGGTTATTGAAAGTTAGATAAAAGCAACCGGACTAATTGACCATGCGTGGAATTGTCTTTTATCTCTATGCAGTTTTTAACTAAAGTAGATTTTCAAAAGAATGGATACTGAACAAAGAGTACTCTTTTCGATAAATTCATCATCAGGCTCTACAGTTATATATACATTATAGTGAATGAATGAATGAATTAGTCTTATGAACGACATTAATGCTGTTTAAATAACATCAAATCAATAATATTGATAGATTACAGCTGAACAGCATCAACATAAAATAAGCTGGATGTCAGAAGAATAAGAAAGGTAATATTACAGATTCATGAGTTCATAGTTTCTACTGAGGGCCAGGGCAGTAGTAGGGGCTGGACTTGTTTCCTTTGAACACAGAGCACTGGTTGTTTGAGGCGAATTGCAATGGCCTCTGCTGTTTGAAGCATGCGGTGCTTTGACGATTTTGGCAATTTGTTAGGCACCCGGTATATTATAGAGAAGGATTCTTCAACGCTAGCTGGATTTGTGACCGGTTTGCACCAGATGGTCTAATATTGAACTGTTAATGCTTTTCATTACACCTTTACTTAGCTATAGCGGGATATCTTCCCGAGCACGAAAAATCAAGTTCCTAGAGCAACGGCCAATATAACTCGCTCCACAAGCGCAGCTGAATTGGTAGATACAATTTGAAGTGGCCACCTAGCCTAGTCTAGGTACTTCATCTTTCAGTCGAGGTAGCACCATCAGTCGTGTAGAGAGTAATACGTGTAGTTCGCCAGTATTAAAAGTTCTTTGAACCGATTTCCTTAATTTCTTCGTAATTATCTCGCTTGGTATATCGCCCATGAATTGTAGTCGTATATATAAAGGCTTCTTGTTTCCAGACAGTGAGTAGTCCTTTTCCGCTTTCTTTGTCATGTGTTTCTTGATAAATTTGTCGGGATAACCATTTTCGATTAAAGTATCATATACAATGCTTAATTCATCTTTAATTACTTCTTCTGAGCATACAGGTCTAACTCTGTGGCTAAGGGTCTTCACTAAATTTCTTTTGTAATTGATAGGAACGAAGCTGTTAAAATGCGTATATTGTCCTGTCCAAGTGCTTTTTCTACGCAAATTTCTTTTTATGCTACCATCTGGTTTTCTTGTAAGTAGGACATCCAGGAAGGCAATTCTCTTTTGGAATTCCTCTTCGCATGTGAACTTCATAGCCGAATGTACTTCACTGAATTCAGTAATTATTGTACTGCTATCAGAACCATTATCACAAAGAATAAAGGTATCATCCATATATCGGCAATAAAATGAGAGCTTACTGATGAGGTTGTTCAGAGGTCCATTTTCTAGCTTACTTAGAAAGAAATCAGCCAGAATGGGACCTCTGAACAGCCAGAAATAATGCTGGTAAAGAGGGAAGGTTGGACTTGAGGCTAGCAACCCCATCCTGTAAAAATAATCACCAGTACTACAGAAACTTCAAGCCACTAGCTTGAAGCCCTATGTTTCACTTGGAACGTGAAGGAAAAAATAAACCTTTCATTTACACTTTATTTATGATAAACATAAGGATGACGTCTACATAATTCAATAATTTGTAGATAAGTCTCACATGTAAAAGAGTTCTCGCTTATCAATAACTATCAACTTTCCAGAAAACTTGGGAGTACGTAATCTCCTAGTCGCATACACTGTGCTTGGAATTGCTTATGCAGGTGTACGATGGAAATGAAGTCTAGTAGTTCGATAAATCCATCCAACCGCCTATGTGCTAACGGTGTAAAGTACTTCTTTTTAATTCCGCTACGATAGCTAGAGAACGCTAGACAGTAATTTACACTCAAATGTTCAGTGACATGAGCAAGTTCATTCTGACTGATGCAATCACATCCAGTGTACTTACAACTTTTATTTAATTTCTGTTGGATAATTTTTCATGTTGTCATTTGTTATTCTTTGGATTGGAGGCTGTAGTCAACTTTCATTGCTATATGTAGAAAGTTGATTTGGCAGGAAAAAATTATCTACCTAAGCTTTCATACATTCTACTTTTCAACAAAGTATATCTCTGATGATATTAGATAGTTGCAGACAATCGGCTGCAGGAAGCCTTGCTTGACCTAGGTTTCGTGCTAGTTACCACTCACCAGTCAGCAAGGCGTATCTGAAACTTTGAAGGAACTTATGTCCCTTCTGAGACTCGAACCCGCGTCACCCAGTGCTGTAGTCAGAGACGTTACCACTGAGCTATTCGGGATTGCCATTGACCTCCTGTATGACTGCTGACGAGCGGCAACTAGCACGAAACCTAGGTCCAAGACTTCCTGACGATTGCCTGCAACTATCTAGTATCATCAAATCAATGTGCATCGTTATGGCGAGCTACCTAGAAGGATGGCCACACTGCAAACCTGACTGATAGAATTCAGTCTGCAGCAAAGAAAGGACTAGACACGTCACACTAGTTACTAGTGTCCAATCAAAAAGTACACCTCTGTTATATAGAAAATTTATCTGTCATATCTGCGTTGACGGTTCAACGGAAGAACGATAGCCGACAACACACATAGCCCGGATTTCGACCTCTGACAGACGTATTCTTAGATCTCACCTAGTAGGCCGACAAAAAAATATCTCACAAGTTCATGTTGTTGCTGGACTGACTTAAGACAGTGTATGACTCGTAACTCTTATCAGGTTGTTTTAGAAATGTTCAAGCCCTCAAAATAATTGTCTGAAGCTTTCTGTAGTGTATCCTATATATTCCATAGTCTGTTAAAGCTAGATTGGTATGTTTGGTATATTTTTTAAAATTTTTGTACAGCTTGACTCCACATCGTATTTTTGGTACCAGTATGGAATTTCCAGCACGTGAAACCGGTAGTCCAAATTTTGCAGGCCGACTATTGATATCCGGTGTGCATCGGCAGAGGATTGAACCCCGGACCATGTGAATGGGCGGCGAGAGTCCTAACCGCTGTGCCACCGACACTAGTGTTCAAGTAATAGCAATCCATGATCTAGGCTAAATGGAAGGCTGAAATGCTGTGATAATGAGGCATTTGCACTTTTTCATCACGACTTTGAGAAGAATATAACTGCATAGCTGTCTTCGCTAAAATATATGTGCACACTTCTTATACTCACACTTTAACATGAGTAGTTTTCAGTTTTCTTTTGCTCTGTTTTTGTCTACTTAACCCACAGGATTTGATCCAATGTACTATTTGATTTATATCAATATGACTCAAAAACTCGACTTTTCATCCATGTAATAAGTAAATTTCAGATTTTCTAAACCAGGTGTATGTTGTTAACATTTACTTTGCTGATGAGCTTGCAAGGAAGGCTCAGGTAACGTGAACTGTTCAGTTGTCTCAGAGGTGTCGACATATTTCTTTGATTTTAATTGGTGGATAGTGACTAGCGGTGGAATCCAATCCAGGATGCGCATTTCGTCCTATTTAGGATTCGTCAGCTAGATGTACCTGCATTTATCAGTGAGTGATGATGGTTCCACCGAGGCTCGAACCCAGTGCCCATAGTTTCAAACGCCAAAGCGTTATTCACCAGACCACTTGGGCGACGAGAGCCACCTCTTGTGCAACGGGTCATATTAATTATGTAACTGAATTTAAGATTTTCCCGTCGATTGATTGGACCGAAGTGATCGGTCTCAGGTTAAAATAACTATGGGCTTGTTGTACAGATGCTTCAACGTTGTCTGGGCACGTAATTTGAATTTAATTGGTAAATGGTGACTAGTAGGAGTGGAATCCAGGACAACGAGCATTTCGTCATCCTGAGACCGAGCACTTCGGTCCAATCAATCGACAGGAAAATCAAAATTAAATTAAATTTTTCTATGATAGTTTAGAACTATTAAAATCTGGTTTCTGTCAAGTATAAATGCCTATGGTATAACCGTCAGACGGTTGCATAGTCTACGGAATGAGTTTCTAAGAGGCTATCTTGAATTCGTTTAGCTGGACTAACAACACTGACTATAACAGAGGGACTTTACATCCTACTGTCAATCTACTATTTGAGACAATAAGTCTTTGCACTACACAAACAGACAAACAAACATACAAACAAAACGAGCAGACAGTCCCGTGTTACATCATCCCACGCATACAGTCTGAACAATTCAGTCTAATGTCCAATTATAAATTAGTGTGTAGGCGGGATGAATAAAATTATTCATCAACTGTGTAAACAAAATACACCATTTCTCCATTTCACACACAGAAATGCTAGTTGAAAAGTGAAAACAAAAAAAAGGAATTCAGGTCACTCCATTTAACAACAGGTCCAGCAGTCTGTGACATAGTCTCCGCTATCTGAACGGATTAAAATAACTAAATTTCATCGCATCAGTCAGCTTTTGTAACAGTAGAAGGCAAGACACAGAAGCAGAAGCAAACGTACATTTTCAATTTATCAAACCGATATTTTTATATTCTGTACAGTTTTATATTCTTTAACCAACCACTGAGCGTGTGATTTTGGTTTAAACTAAGCGACATGAAATATAATGTTCAAATGCATGTATGGCATTCTCTTTCTAATGCAGTATTGAACTGTGCGAATATATGAGTATAATATTCCGTTGGCACACACTAAGACAAGACGGAGGTTGTGAAAATAACCAACCAACTAACAACAACAACAGCAGCAACATCCAGCGCCAATCACCATCAACGGGAGGGATTTGAAAGAGGTTACTTCATTCACTTATCTAGGTAGGGAGCATTGTCTCAACTACAGGAGGAACTGATGAGGACGTCAAATCGAGAATCGGGAAGGCGAGAAACACATTCATCAACTTGAAACCAATCTGGAAATCTTCGTCACTCAGCCTGCAT